AGAAGACAGACAGACAGCACACAAATTTTACATAACTCTTAATCCTGAAGCAAACAATCAAAGAAGAGACCAGTGCGCACACACAACAGAGGGAATAAAACACACAATACAAAAGGATTGACACACACACAAAGACATTTGCAGCACAGGAAAGATCAATATGAAGCGTGCTGGAAAGGCAGGTGCCAGGTCTTCTGGCAGGGGAGGGAGAGGGGGTAGAGGGAGAGCTAGAGCTGCAAGTCCCCCAGCACCTGCCAAACACATGCTCTTCCCAAGCAGCCGTGACATCAGTGCTGCCAGTGGAAGCAAGGAGGTGGGAGCAGTGTCTGCATCTGACAACCCTGCACCTGCACCATCTCTGATCAGTCCAGAAGTGGGCACCAGCAGTGGAATCACTGCCTTTTCCACCCCAATTTCATCTCTCAGCGTAAGCCTCCCAATGCCAGAGGAGGAGCAGGAGCTGGAACCAGGGATGCTGAGCACGCTAGCTCAAGCAATTGTGGGGACTGAGGGGAATCAGAGTTTGTGCTCCACACCCCTCAGATTTCCCCTAGACCCATGTGTCCCCCGGAAAGCAGCACCTCAGAGGAGGCTGAGGTTGTGGAGGCAAGTGGCTCAGCTGAGGCAGCTCCTCCTGCTGTTGAGCCTCAGCCTGCTGAGGAGTGGAATAAGGCAAGATCCTCACCCTCAACCCAGAAGTGGGAGAGTAGTGTAGTGTGGAAGCATTTTGAGCTGGCAGATGATCCCAGGTTTGCCATCTGCCAGCACTGCCGAAGGCACATGAGCCGTGGCAAAGATGTGAAGCACTTTCCCAAGATGGCAATCCTGCTGCATCTGAGGAGGCAGCACCCCTTGCCCTTCTTCCTGTGTGCCAAAAGGGAAGTCCCCCACTCACTCTAAACCCCTTTCCCCACAAAGCAGAGTCAGGCCACCCTGAACCAGTGGGGGAAAGGTGGACAGAAAGGGGGGCACGTTCCCAAGGCGAGCAAGATCACCCAGAGCATTGGGGAGATTTCATAGATTTCACAGACATTAGGGCTGGAAGGGA